CTTTATGCTCCCTCCTTCCCTGCCCAGCTGTTGTTGCTCGTGTTCTCTGCACACACAGTTTGTAAAGGCACATGTGCTGCTGTTGCTCCTGCTGCTGCTGCAAACTCCTCTTCCCTTTGTGCTCCAGAGACAGCAGCAAATTCGCAGCTCCCCCGGCAGGGCCTGCCTTGTGTGACACCTGAGGTCAGGTGGGTTTGGGGAGGCAGGTAAAACGTGTGCATTGGATTTTTCTCCTTCCCTCCAGGTCGATGTTACCTCGACCCCGATTTTGCACAATTTTGCAACTGCCTACTTTCTACTTGACTAGAGATGTTAACACTAATTAAATTATGTATGGCTGTTTCTGACCAGGACAAAAACATAATCTTGCCTTGTTTGAAGTAATTCTTATGGATTATAATAAATACTGTTTGGTTTTTTTGGACAAGAGATGATTTCACACTTGGTGGTGCAGTTAACACTGCTGGACCTTTTCTGTCTAGAATAAAAATGTATTTCATATTTCCAATTTTTTATGCTTTTGTTTGTTCTTAAAAAAACCCCATAAGTGCGCATCACTGATATAATAAATCTACTGTGCAGTAGAAGTAAAAGAAAAAAATCTCAAAGGTTTAGCAGGCCACAAGGAAACTATTTCCTCTAAATTCCTGAAAATGTATTTTTATGTGGTAACAGGATTAATATTGTTAGGGTACCCCCTCATATTATTAGAAGCCCAAAAGGATAATATCTTAACTATAACTTGCCTGAAAAATGTTTTCAGGAACATCTTGTGATGGTGTGGTGGTTTCCAGCTGAACAGTGAGAAGGCTGGGGGTGTGTTGGAGCTTCTCCTCGGCCTTTGGCCACTAATGTGCCTTCTGGCCACAGAGTCCCTCGTGACTGAGAACTCCAAATAACTCTGCAAGCCATGAATTCTGCCCTAAATTCCTCATACCACCAACTGGTGATTTTCTTGTGTGCGAAAGGATATTGTGCAGAGGATTATTTCCCCCCTCTTAATGAAAGTGTGATTGTGCTCCTATGCTGGAACAGACTTCATAGCAAAGATTCTCGAATAAGGGAGTTAAAAAGAAGGAAGCAACCAAATCCAGCTGGTTTCACTGATTGAATTTAGTGCAGATGTGGTTTGTTTCTGCACTGAGAAGTGAATCCATTCAGAAGGATGTCCTCCTACGAAAACTTGTATGGAATTTTTAATAGCCACAAGTGGTCACAGAATTGTTTATACATCTTGTCTGAAAGCTGGAAAACGTTCCTATAATTAAGTTTAAAAAAAAGGGAGCATGTAGGGGGGAAAGGAAGAGAGATAGCCTGAGAACATCCGTTGAGGCAAATGTCCTGAGACAATCAGATTTGTTCTCAGAGGTGGATGTATATTATTTTAAAGGCCAGAAGAAACACGTCTCCCCACTCTGTGCATGGGCGAGGATGAGTTTGTTTAGTTTTAAGCCTTGCATTGTGTAAATATCTTTACACTTGCAAGATGTCTCAACTGCAGCAAAATGAAATTCCATCTAATTGTTCTTTGCTTGGAATGCAAATACCGAGGACCACCAATTTGGGACCGACACACAAGAAGGAAAATATTTATCTTGATGAAACCAGAAAGTTAGTTAAGCAAGGAGAGCCAGGCAGTTGTGTTGCTTCATAAGTAGGGTTACAGAATGAGTGTTTTGTCTGTCGTTAGAGATTGTTGGATGTTTGCTTTCTGCTGGCTGTGGAGGTTTCACTGTGTCCTCTGGAGAGGCTGAACTCTGGATCGGTTGAAGGGGTTGGGTGAGGTGGCTTTGGCTGGTGACTGCCAATCGAGAGGCTGAAGTGAAGTTAAACTCGGGAGTTTTGGTTCATGTAATACCATTGGAGACCTGGAAAATTATTTAAATTTTACTCCTGAAAAAGGTGAGGATATCAGGACTTGGAAAGTACTAGCTTTGTCTTCTGTCATGGGGTTTGCTCCTAGTTTTCACTAACCCGTGGGGTTTGTTCACTGCACTGAAACGCTTTTGTTCTTCTTTAGCATTTAAATGTTCATGCTAACTCCTCCCATCCTGTCTACTTAGTGTTTAGATTGGTGAAACACCAAAAAACCAGAAATGACTCAGGCAGGACAGCTCCAGGATTTGTTTTACAGAACAAGTGTGTGCTCTGAGAGCTCTTCTGTGTGGAGGATTGTGTGAACACAGGGTTGGAACAGCAGAAGTGTTCTTGCTGCTGGAGGCCAAAGGGTGGCTCATGGGGAGGGGTCTCCCCAGCCCTTGCCATGGACCTGCAATATTTGTATAGGACTGTAAAGATATTTCAATGCACATTGTCCTTCATTGTTAATATTTCAAAAGCCTTCATTGAAATACAGAAATACTGTTAATTTTTTTTTTTTTTTAAGACACAGAGTCCCAGCAACAGGGGCAATGGATGTAAAGCCATGGAGCCTCCTGAGCAAACACCTTCAGCCTCGGCAGTTCCAGGCTGGAATGCCACAAGCAGCCTTTAAAGAACCTTTTTTTCAGTGCATTCATTTTCCTCCTGATATGTTTTCTCACAGCATGAGTAAAGGGAGGCAGTGATGATACACAAGGATGAGAATAAGGCAAACATCTTCACACAGGCCCGTTTGTGGTGACTGCAGGATAGGACTCTGAGGAGTCATCACCCCTTCTCTGTGTGAATGGAAGGAAAATATTGCCTATACCAATAATTTCTGGAAGCTGAGCAGTGCTGTAACTCCCACTCAGTTATATCCTGATTCTTCTATTCTTATCAAGAGACACTGGAATCTTTTGGCTCTGATATTAATACCATTATTTAAAGATGTTGCATTAATGTGCAGTTTTATCTAAGTGCTCTGCTAGCGCAGAATCTTCTTTTCCAGCAGACTCCTTGTCTTGCATCTGGCAGATAGGTATTTGATGTGATTTCCTAATGCAGAAGGCAGGCTGACTCCATTTAGTTTATTCCTTTTTTGTCTAACAGCAGCATTAATTACACTGGGAGGGTTGTCTGGGCTGTGATCAGAGGAGAGGAACACACAGCAGGCAGTGTCTGGGTGCTGTAGGAAAAGGACTGAGGTGTTTGAGTTCTTTTTTTTTTTTTTTTTTTTTTTGGTGGGTTGCTTGAGCATAGAAAACTCTCACAATTTCACGTTGATTCCAAAAAGCAATTTCACTTGTTCCAGATAGTCCAAACCTGTCCCAAGGAGCCTTAAGTGCACAGTAGGGAAATGGAGAAGAAACTGCAGTGCCACTCACTGATGTGCAGCTTTGGGAGGGGTTTGTGGTAGTGGCTAATCCAGAGATTTTGTAACTCAGCTTGAAGAAAAAGCGAGCACCATCTATGAATTCTAAACATTTAATGGATAAAATGATATTCTGTTGGGATTCTGATTAGTATTCTCAGTTGCCAGCTAAGGTGAGAGTTACCAAAGCGTCTTGCTGTGGCAAAAAGTTAAAAATGTAAGAACTCTTGCTAATACTGGTACTGCAAAACTTTAATGTGATTGCACCTACAATACTGCAAAAATGCATTAAGGATATAATTGATTATATACAGTTTGCCTTTTTTATACTCAGCATTGGATAACAGTCTCAATTGTTTTTTGTTGCCAGTCCTCAGTTAACTAGCTGCAATATTTGTGGGGTGTGTTTGTACACAGTGTGAGCACAGTCACAAAATCCCTTGAGCTTTGATGTTTTAAGATCTTAGAATATACATGTAGTACAAAGGTGTGATGTAGGATTGTGTATTTATAAGGTCTGATGTGAAGAGACTCTTAGCGCTATTTGCATGCAAGGAATTTTTAGGAGTGGGTAGGTTTCTGATGAGATGAAAAGAAAAAGCAGGTAAACATGCTGAAGTCTGGTATTTGTTCAACAGAAGACTGTCATTTCCTAAACTGGAAGTAATTTAATCATGTTTGTATCTGGAGTAGTTAAATGAGATCATTTGCCGTAATTACTTCATGTCTAACAAGGTCTGTCGCCATTTGGATTTTATGTTGTGATTCGGATCCTAAAAGGAAAGGAGCTCAGCCACTGGATGTTGAAATAATCAATATATTTCATTATTAAGATTTGAACAGAAGCTATGTTTCAAATGTGACTTTAAAACTCTCCTCTCAAGCTGAACCTTTTTTTGGTAGTCTTCTTGTTATAACCTGTTAAATATGTATAGGACATAAAGCAGTGGCTTTGGCCATCCCAAATGACTTCACTTGTTGTGTGTTGCTGTTGGGACAGAACCATTTAAATACCTTATTAATTATTTTTGTTGTTCCATTTTACTGAGCTGGAAGGAAAAGCTGTTCTATAATTAACAAGCTGTTTCCAAGAAAGCATTAAAACTGTTATTGTAGGATCATTGCACAGGAGGGGAATGTTTGTGGTTGGTGTCTAGTGCTGTACAAAGGAGCAGGAGAAACCTCTGGCCAAAGGAGTTTCTTGCTGGGGAACATCTGGTGGCTCAAGAAAAGCAAAGGGTTTGTGCAAATAACTTTTGGTGTTTGAACTCAGCACCAGGATGCACATCTGGTGCATAGCACTGGATTTTCTTTGACTTTTTTTCTCTGAAAGATAGTCGTGCCTTTGGAGTCATAATTCATTTACATGAAGAATTCTGATGTGTTACCGGTATAATAGGAATTATATCAGACTTGAATTTGGCAGTGAAGCTGTAGAGCCAAATCTTACCACATTGTATGATAACAAGATTCCTTTCATTGTCTGTCTGTCTTTTGAAAGATAGATTCTGTCCACAGTCATTCATTCAGTTACCTTAATTAAGACTTCTGTAGATTACCAATAAATTAGGTTTGGCTTTCATTTGTGAGTTTGTTTGTTTGGTTTGGTTTGTTTTTTTTTCCTGATAATTATCCCAGCTTAAAAAAAAAAAATTAATGTTCTGATGATTCATGTAAACTTGCTTTTCTTAATCAGTTTATTAAGTTTTCTGTGATGAGGTATGTTTGCAAATGCTCAAACCCTGTTCATTTTGCTGTGTTGCAGTGCCTGATGACCTCTCTCTAGAAGAAAGAGAAGAGCTTTTAAATATTCGTCGCAGGAAAAAAGAACTGATTGATGATATTGAGGTAATTGATTTTTCTGTGGAGAGCCTTGGAAAGCTGCTTCAGTACATTAAGTTACAGTACTAGATCTGAATTACAGGTAGTGGTTTTAAAAGCATATAAATGGCTTAAGCTAAATATTACTGGTAGTGACTCGGATTTATGTTCATATGTGTGATTCACAAATGGTAACTCCTGAACTGACATATGGACAGATTTGATTTGTGTAACCAACAACTCCTTAAACAGCAGATTTGCATCCAGAATAGGAGTGAGAAATCTGGGTGAAGAAATCTTGTAATGATGATTTGATTTTGGTGCTCTGACACAAGCACACGCTGGAAGGCCAGATCCATGTGTTTGTCAGTCATTCAGTTGTGGTAAAATATTCAAACATCTAAGGAAGCCCTAAGATTCATCCCTTTTCTTCAGGTAACTAGCAAATGTGAGAAAATAAACCCCAACTGATGATATTATTGTACGACTGATGATTTCAAAAGGTATTTCAACGTGAGGTAATGTGTTGTCCTTCCTTCTTTTGACAGAGATTAAAATTTGAAATTGCTGAGGTTATGACTGAAATTGATAATCTGACAAGTGTAGAAGAAAGGTAAGTAATGCCAACATCTGGACATGATTAAGACCTTGGAGCAGGTCTTCCAGGAACAGCAAATAAAATTAGCTTTCTCATGCTAAACAAACATTGGATCACCTTTATTTAGTCTGTTATAAAGTCTTCAAAGCCTGACTTTATCCTATACAGATGTTTCATTAAATTGGATAGATAATATGTTGGATAGAATGTAATATTTTAGACTGTCCAGTTGATCAGGACATAGTTCTCTGAAGCTGCAATCATTTCAAGGAATTGAAAATAGTAACATAATATCCCCCCTCTGTAACAAGTGAATATCTTGTTTTCGTCGTAGAAGATACAAAGTAGCCAAAATACAAATTAAAAATATATCTAGAAGTTGTTGTTGTAGTAAAAGAGCAACTGATAACAGCTTGTTGTTTCTTCTTTTCCTCCATATGTAGCAAAACTACACAAAGGAATAAGCAAATAGCCATGGGGAGGAAGAAATTCAACATGGACCCTAAGAAGGTAGAGCATTTTTTTTCCCCACTTGTCAGGAGTCAGTTTTTGCTTGTAATATGATGTGTGACAAATTCATTCACGTTTTGCTTAAGAACCATTTCTGATAATGTCAGTTCTCAGGCCTCATTTGCACATCCTGTAACAGCCTGAGCACAGGGTTAAATTGGGAGCAGTCTTGGAGTTCTTTGGTGTTTGGTTATTAGTGAGGCCATACATTTATTTTTTTTTTTATTACTCCCTATTTTTTTCTTCCAAAACGCCTTTACCATGTTTTTTTTAATTTGGTCTCCTGCAGACTGTATTTGCAGATCTAAATTCTGTTTGTGCAAAAGGGACCTGTATGTGTTTCTACATTGTGTGTATACACATGGCTGTGTACCCATCTGACTTGTACAAATCCCTGCAGGCAGGAATTTGGTTACCAGTTTCAATAACTATGTTGTGCATTATCCAAGAAATAAAATACTTCATTTTTCTGGAGTGCCTCTATGTTTCTTAAATAATTGTTAATTTTCTGGAAAATCTGGGAACCTGCACATTTTCTTACAGACCCTCCTGACATATTTAAAAGAGCTGCTTTGACATATTTGACTTCTAGTCTTTACTCTTTTCACTTTTCATCCTCCTTGCTTTGTTTTATTGTCTTCTGTTGTTTGAGATTCCATTTGGAATTTGTTTTTTTGGAAATCATTTAACATTTGTTTCTCTGCGTTCTTGACACGTTTTCTTTCCAGTGGTGGTGAATTCAGTTACATTTTGGTGGCTTTCCTGAAATGTTCCAAGTGCAGCGATGGCTTCTGTTCTTCAGGATGTTTTCAGTTTGCCAGAAACTCCCAAGTGTTTTATAAAGAGCCCTTTTTAAAGTGCTGGCCGTGCCTTTTAATTTTTGTTTTCCATTTTGTTGACTGCCTAACTTCTGTCGAGGGCAGAACACCCCCAGATATCCTGATAGTTTGTTGTCCTCCGGCTCTTTCGTGGCCTAGAAGTTTGTGGCAGAGTCACAGGATGATGTCAGATGCTTCCACTCCAGCGTTAACTATTTTCTGTTACTGTTCTCGCTGGCTGAAATTATTTCTATAAATAGATGCTGTGGCCACATTGCTACTGTAATATAATTTAAATGTGGTAAACAGACTTAGAGTAGTAATTTCTTAATAATGTCTGTGGATCAGTGGGGGCCTGCAGGAGCTGGGTCATCGTGCTGTTTGCAGCTCCTGCTTTGAGTTAGAGACAAAATATAAGTCCTGATGTTGGGAAAACTCACTCGAGTTCATTTTGAAGAGGATGTTTTTCATTCATAAATGGGAGGGAAGATGGTCTCTGGAGTTAGGAATGCCAGAGAACTGGGGTAGTAATACTTGTGCAGAATCCCAGTTTTCTCCTTTAAAACCAAGTAACAGAGTTCTCATGTTTTACATGTTCTGGTCCGTGTGTAGAGCAGTTCTCCCTTTCCTCCCTCTGAAAGTAGCTCTGGAAATAGTGTTTAATGCATGGACTTGAAATGTGCTACACTCCAGGCAGCACTGCCTGTGCTGAGCCCAGGGAGTGAATTCTCTGTGACAAAGGCTGGGTTTAAATGGCTGCAAACTTTGTCATGAGGTTACCGTGAAAGCGATGAAACTCAGAGCAGATTTCGTTGCGTTGACTTCAATCTGTGCGATATTTGTAGCGAACGTTGAATGTTTCTGTAGGCACGAGGTTTGTGTGGGGAAGTTAAACCAGTGCAGCTGTCTCTTGTCTCCTGTCAGTCTAGAGAATAAAATTTGCATCAAGACAAAAGATAGCGTAGGAGGTGACAGGGGCTTGCCTGGCCTATTTTGCCATTTATTCCAGACGCTGGAGTTGTTGTCCCAGACAGATTCCTTTTCCTGTCTGTTTGACTTCTGGTTCTTGAGCATCTTAAGAATAATTAAAAAAAAAAATAAATTGATTTTTGCAGTAAATTGAAGTCTCTGCTTTCCGTGCTTCTGGTCATGTTCATTATCAGTAACTTGTACAACTTTAAGAAAACTATTCAGGTCAGTCTATTTATACTGAGTGTGAATAATACGGGCCAGGTGTTGGACAAGGGAATCTGCTGTTCCTGGTGTTGTTACAGGGAAGGTTCTCTGTTGGTTGACAGAGCTTTTTGGATAACTTGGTGTGGGAAAAACCACTATGTTTTGTAGTCCAATATTGTCTAAATATTTAGTTATCAAATAAGCTTTGTAGGGATCGATTTCAAGGGAAGCTCAGCTATTTCTGCTTCAAGATAAAATAGATGCTTTGCAAAGAAATCATGTCTGTTGTGAAATGACTTATCAAAATATTAAGTTGTCAGAGTAGCAGCCTGGCATTGAAATTTTCAGATGATGATAAAATTGTTCTGAGAGAATTGCATCCCAGACTCTCTAAAGAAATCTTCAAGCTTTATACCATCATAGTTCATTTTCTTTGTTAAATTAGGTCAGAAAATTGACTTTTTTTTTTTTTTTTGTCAGACAGGTAATCATTTCATTATCCAAAGCTAGAATTAACCAAACAAAAAGATAATTACTGTTTTGAATGTCACTAGAAGGCCACCTATGCCATGCCAAAAAATAATGGATTTTTTTCCGTTGTAGTGAAATAAAAAAGAAATATATTCCACTTGCAGAAAATAACAAAATTCTGATAATCCTGAAATATTGTAGGTGAACATATTAGTAATTTCTTATTAACCTCTTTTGCACATACTTAGAATCCAAGACATTATGATTCCTTACAGTTCCCATTTCTACATTCCACTAGCATGCTGTTAACAGTTTGAAGAAATCAGCAGGAACAGCAACGTCTTTGGGAGAGAAAAAGAGTTGGTTCTCTCTTCACGACCTGCTGAGTGCTGGAACAACCTCCCTCCCATCCTTTACCCAATCTTTATATAACCCTTAGTCTCCTTTCTTTGCCCCTTTGCAGAAGGTTCCCTGGGCTCCCCCGGCGCGTGCCAGTTGTAGGGCAGTAATTTACGGAGGCCCAGGAGTGAGTCCAGGGGCTTTACCGAGTTCCCTCTGAGGGACAGGGTAAGACTCTCCCCCTGCCTTCCCTAGAAGCTCCGTGGTAGAAGCTTGGCTGGTTTCTGAGCAGTGTGTGACTGGTGTGGCTCCAATCCTTTGTGAATAGTTCAGTCCCAGCCTAGCCAGAACCCTCGGATAGTCCCAATGTCAGCAGAAACTCCTTGAAACCGGTTTCGGTATCTTCAGCTGCCACTTCCATGGCAAGTAGTGGCTTGATGTATTGGGTTGCAGTTTGTAGATTATAACAGGTGCTTTATTTCGTGTCATGGTGGTAATTAAGTTGTTTCCACGTACCTCTTCATTATGTGATTTTGCAAATTACGTCTCTGTAGACGTTTCTGCGAGGGCCAGCTCGCACACTGACTCAAAGAGCAACATGGAATTGTTATTCAATTAGTATTTGATCTTCCTGTTATTGAGGGATTCAAACTGCCACCTAGTACTTCTAGCCTTAAAAATGTGTTCTCATTTTTCATCTTTAAACCAGTACTATATACTGCTTATGTAAGTGGAAAAACATTTGTTTGCCATTTCATTTAAAAACGTAAAAATCTGTAGGTTAATGTAATTCTCAATGTGCTATGTATATGTCTGTGTAAGTACATTAATACCAAATGTTATGAGCAGTATTTCCATCAATGATTGTGGAAGAAAACATAACATTCTTTTTCCTCTGGAATTGTTCTTCCTAGGGAATACAGTTCCTGATAGAAAATGACCTCCTGCAGAACACTGCAGAAGACATTGCACAGTTCCTTTATAAAGGAGAAGGATTAAATAAAACGGTAATTGGAGATTACCTCGGTGAAAGGTAAAAGAGAAATATTGAAATTGAAACTTTATTCTTGAGTTTATAGAGCATATTTACAGGTTTGGGCTGGTTACCTTCCCCTTCACAGGCTGCGTGAGAGAGATGCTCAACTATTCTATAAAAACCACAGTGGGATGTGAAGCTGCTGCAGCATTGTGATAGGGCTTTTTTCCTGTTAGGTTGTTGGTTTTAAATGGGTACATTGTGGGATGATACTTAATAAACTGTAATTTATTATTTTGAGAAATGTGGCTATAGTGCAGAATTAACACTGTAAGCTTTTGGAATGTCTGGGAGTTGTATTGCAGCAGTTCTGGTACCTCTCGGTGCTGTGTCCAGAGAAGAGCCATTGACAATCAGTAATAATCAGACAGGAAAGAAATTACTTATTACAACGGGTAGTCCCCGGGACAATAGCTGTTGTCAGGTTTAGTGTTGTCATCTTCCCTGCACAGAGACTTCCCGTGAGTCAGCAGGTGTCTCAAAGGGCAGCTGCACCGGATCCTTACCAATCCTAGTACAAGAAACATGCAACATGTGTGTTAATGCAACAGTTGCAAAACACAGCCAGGATGCAAATCACTTCCATGGCTGTGCAACCCAGGAATTGATTTTGGAAAAGGCAGCCGAGAGCCAGGCAGTGCAGGGTGGGTTGGAGTGTGTGTGACGTGCTGGCACATGTTCAGGTGCCAGTTGTGGAGGTTTAGCAGTTGACTCATTTAGGATAAACTCCTGTGGGGATGTGTTGTGGCAGATCCCTTTTTGAGACACCCCAGTCTGCTTTGCGGCATCAACAGCTCGGTTTGTGCTCAGCAATTTCCTCTTGACATTTAGGCTTAATGGAAGTTTTTACTGTAATACCTTTTGAAAATAGATCTTCACTGTGGAGTCTATACAGAATATGTAGACATGTCAGCAGTTTTTATACGACAGAATTGTGTTGCTTCTCTTGAATATTTGGGCAGTCAGTATTATAAAACCACTTGGTTGTTAATATCCATAATTGCAGAACTGTAACAAGGCCTGGATAAAGCAATCTGTGTTCTCCTGTGAGAGCTGTACCTTGGCATCATCTTCTGAAACATTTCCAGTTTTTCTAGCCCCATTCCCAGAACCCTGTGCTCATGCAGAAAGGTCTTGCCAGTATGTCCAGGCTCACTGGAATCATTAATAATATTCATGTGATTTATTTAAGTGAGTGCACATTTAAAATTTAAAGTGTTATTGCTCGTTCTGCTGCTTCTCTGGCAGGGATGGTGAACAGCACTGTGGTCTAATCTGACAACACAACCTTCCTTAATGCTGAGTGGGTACAGAGAGAAATATGCAATTCATCTTTATCTTCTGAGTTTTTCAAGACTGACACACTGTCAAGTTTAGTGGTCACACTGAATAGCAAATTCAATCAAGATATTTTGTATAGATCTATGAACTGGAGAGTAAGGTCTTGGGGGAAATGAAAAAAGTGGACACATTGCTCCTATTTTGCCACAAGGCAGAAGCAGTCTGTCCATTTTAAGGAGCAGTTGAAATCAAAAAGAAATTTTAAAATTATCCTCTGCTTTAAAAGGAGCTTTTTTGCAATGTATCCAGTCAGTCTACATAAATTGTTTTTTTGTGTGTTTCCTCATTTCTGTGAAGGGTGGAATATTAACATGGTAATGGGAAAGCAAATGGTATTTCTTTCTATTTTTTTTCTTTTCACATATATGAATTAGTAAGGGGTGACCGTGAAGAGATGACAATCTGATTATCAGGAACGTGTGTGGAAATGTCAAGGCAGCCGTGTCTGGAGTGGGGAATTGGTTCATCATACTCTGTTGAGCTGCAACATTAATTTCCTGGAATCCTAATAATTTTTATTCAGTTTTTTCTGAAAAGAATGTATTAAACCTTTAGGTCCTGGGGTGAAATAAATACCCTGAGGTAAAATAAAATGTGACAACTGAGGTGTCTTAAGCTGCTGGTTTTGCCTTTGTGACTCCCTCACAAACAGGCTCTGGAGTGATGTGTGCTGTGTGAATAGCAGAGCATTGGAGGGATGAGCTTTTGCTGACTTCCACACTAACTTCTGTCAAGGCATTTGGAGTCTGAGGAAGTTCTTTTTTACTTTGCCCCTCCCTCTCGGGGGCCATCGTGAATTACTTCTGCATTCTAGCTAAATATAGCTGAAGACAAGAATGAATGAAATATTTGTGTAACATTCTGCCATAAAGAGGTATATTTGAAATTACTGACTTTTATAGTCTTACAGCACTCAGCAAACTGAAAAAAATTAATGGTAAAATGGGATAACACCTGAAGAGTTACAATAAATAAGGGATGAATTACATCCTATAAAAGATTTAAGATTTATTTCTGTGTGGGTAGGTCTTCATTTATATTTTTTAGTGGCTTCCTAGACCTTTCATGTTATTTAGCTCATGTCCTTGGAGGTGTACCCAGCACAAGTAATCACAAACATATAAACAAAATCGATCTTTTGCTCAGTAGCACCCCTGTGGATGCTCTTTTGTTCCACTGTGATGCCACTTCACTGGAAAGCAGCTGCACAGTTGGATTGTGCATTGCTGAATTTGCTAGAATGGCTTTGATTTGCTTGGCAGAGCTGGTGTGTTTTTCTGTAAACAGTGTGGGAACATCCCAGTGAATGAATAGTTGGCTTTAAGGTATTTACCGGTGAGTGTTACAGGTTGGTCTGACTATGCAGTTAGTCAGTAATGCAACAGATAATTCCTGGGGGTTCACACCTTTCCATTTTCGGGTGGAGGCTGATATGCAACATTCTGTCTTGCTGATGTATTTGAAGCACACCCTGAGGATTAGAAACCTTTGTGCTTCTGGCAGATGAACTGAGTGATGGTGCAGGCTGAGTTCTGTCTGCATCCAAATAGTCTTGTGTTCATTAATGCTTAAATGTGACTTTTGCACTTAAACACCTTTGTATCAAACAAAGCATCGTTTGACTCGTGATTTACACAGAAATGTAAAAGATGGGTTGAGAGGAAGCTCATTCAAAACCTATTTTGATTTTAGTAACCTTTCATTGTAACAGTTTTTGAGAATGGAATAAGAATACAGTACATACTAAGTAGCTCTTTTCAAAAGCTGGTTTTTCTCTGGGATAAAATCAGTTGAAGCATTTTTGTTTCTTATGTTTGTACATAAATTAAGAGACTGCTTTAATATTTTCTGTTCTTAGAGGGGGAAAAAGGATAGTTTGTTTCTCATGTGCTTTATGGAGATAGAAATTAATTTTCCATTGACCATTGTTTAAGAGTTCATGACACAATGAATGAATTCTTTCTGCAAAAGGATTTACCAAATACATTTGTTGGGTATCATCTTATATCAAGGCAGGTGCTGTAATAATAGAAGTGAAGCAAAGAAAGCCAGGCCAATTTGGGGTAATTCAAATAAGCAGTTCTAAAATCAGTTTCAGTGCACTGGCTCTTGTTGATCTATCAGCAAAAATGGGCAAAATACTAGTGTTAAATATTAAAATACCTTTCAAATACATGTGTAGACTATTTCTGAGGGCTTGATTTGATCAGTGTGATTGTTTATTTCCTTGCTTATTCTCCGAAGCAAATAGAGATAACTAACAAGTCTCTAAAGTTCAGAATTGTCATTGTCTCTTTCCTTTTTTTGTTTTTCACAGAGATGAATTTAATATTAAAGTTCTTCAGGCTTTTGTTGAACTCCATGAGTTCGCTGATCTCAATCTTGTACAAGCCTTAAGGTGAGTAAATTCTTTCTGGTTTTTGACCTGAGCTTCCTTTATCAAATTGCATGTTCCTGTGAGTCACTGTGTTGATTTATTGGTCAGAAAGCTGCTCCTCAGCTCAGCACAAGTGTACTGAGCATTACTGTGCAGCTGAACAGAGACAGCTCTGTTTAACCCTTCCCATGGCTGGTGTGTGTGCTGCCCTTGGGGGTGACATCCTGATTATTTCAGACTAATACAAGCAACTGAAATGTAGCTGTAACTCCTCGGTGTTCCTGCCATGTGGACATTTGAAGATCTGTTTTTAATCTTAGCACAGAGATAGGTTAAAAAAGGAACAAACTCTTTACTTAAACAGATAATTGTCTTCCTCCTTTCCTTCCACCTCAGCTTGTCCCTCTGGGCAGGGAGGGGGAGAAATCCCCTGGCCGTGATCAGTGATAATTTCCAATTTCAAAGAGATAAACTTTGAAACAGCCATTTCCTTGTACTTCCCTCAGAGTTTCCCACTTGTCATGTGAAAGAGAGTGTGATATCTCAGTCTGTTTTTTCTCCCCTTGCTGAATGAACAATTCACTTGATTTCTCTGGGCTGCCTGCACACAGTGACCTTGTGAGGTCCCTTCTCCTCTCCGTGAAGATCCGTAACAGATCGAGCAAATTAAGTTGACTCAGACAGTTCTGCCTGTTTTGTTGCCGCGAGTGACTCCCTCCTGCCACCGGAGAAACGGGAATGTCCGTGTGATCCTTGTTTCTGGTGCAGCGCCTTGTGATGTGGAGTCAGAACAGCTTTGCTATGGTTGAGTGATGTGCTGATGATAACTTGAGTTGCCTGAGATTTGAGCCAAGGAAGCCTTTTCTGTGACTGCTGAAGCTTGTCTGGGAGGCTCCGTGTTCCTGTCCCTTTTACCCAATTTACCGTTAGGTTTGACTTTATTCTTCCTTAGCAGCTGCTACTATTAAATGTTTGTATTTTGGTAGCTTACAAAATTCGTGGTCTGGAACGTTGCACGAGGTGAGTAAAAGAGTATCTAGAGCTGACAAACTAAAGATGGCCTGTGACACTTTAATACAATGTCCTGAAATAAAAACTGATGAAGACAGGAATAAATGATCATTATATTGGCATCCAGGGTACAGGGAAGAACGAGGACTTGTTTTGCATGGCAGAGCATGTAACTTTGCTGGTTCAGACCCTGGTTTAATTCAGATCATTCTTTTGCTAAGAGATAAAAGAATAAATGATGAAATTCATTGGAACTTGGCAGTACCACAGTGTGCCAAAAGTAAATTTGTCAAGACTTCTGTCCTGTATGCATTCCAGTGTACCTACATGTAGAAACAGTCCACCACAAAAGTAAACTCTGTGTTCCAGTTCATGATGCTAAAACAGCAGCACAGATCTGCTGCACATATTACAAAATTACTGAAATCTTGACATAAGTCATTCTTTTTAAGACCTAGGTTTGAGTCTTGTAGGGTGAACTTAGAATAGACAGGCAGCATCTCTCTAAGCACTGGGGTTTTCTTGCTCTTGTCACTATTTTTAAAATGGTTTTGATGAGTTTCAGTAAAGATGTTAAGTCTTTTTGTATTCCTTGTTTCTCTCCCCTACCAGAAATATTTTGTGTAATGTGTCTTTTTACATTGTAAGTAAAGTCTAGCTGACTGTTCATTGCTTTTTGTAGCCAGGAAACCCAGGGAGGATTGAACTCATTCTTTTTTTCCCCCCTAGCATTCTCATGGCAAAAATGGGATGCATACAGAAAATTGTTTACTAGTCTGGAAAAAAGAGAGAGCCTCAGAATATGAACTGCCATATTATCTTGCCTGATAGCATGCAGTGTTGCTGGCTGAATTTCTGGGCTAGCCATCTGTGCATGTTGCTTTATAATAGCTCCTGACTTGTGTGTTGAGAGATTGAGAACATATTTCTAGGACATTCTCTATAGACAGTGCTGATTTATTTCGTTGTTTGTTTCGGATTGTTAGTGATATATGCTTAACATATAAATACTGCAATGTGTAACAACTCTTCTTCCCTTCCATAGGCAGTTTCTGTGGAGCTTCAGACTCCCAGGAGAGGCTCAAAAAATTGATCGTATGATGGAAGCTTTTGCTTCACGTTATTGCCTTTGTAACCCAGGAGTCTTCCAGTCTACAGGTCAGTCACAGGACACAGCAGGGGTTCTTAAGTACATATATGATCCAAACATAAATATATATATATATATATGTTCTTCTACAACTGATTCAAGGAGTCAATGGCCAGTTTGGAAATTCAGGTTAAAATTTCTGAGAACTGAGAAAATGTGAGTGTCCAATCCAGGCAATGCAAGCTTATGGTTAGAATGCACTTCCATTTATAAAACTTCAGCATTAATATATATCTAAGTCAGTTAAAGTATAAAACACACTTCAGAAATGTCACCAAAGATTTTGTCAAGGGATTGGAAAAGAAAGATTTTCAGAGGTTTAAGGGCAGAAGAGACCAATAGGTTGGGTGGTCTCCTCTGTCAGTTATAAGGACTTTATACCTCACTATCTCTGTATCAAGTCCCCTCTATGTGGCTATAGTATTATCTGGAAAGTCATCCATCCTCTTTAGCAGCCTGCTCAGCAATAATTGATCTCAGTTAGAAATGCACCTCAGTTTCCCATGGAGTTATTTACCCAATTGACTTAAATTCTTAAATCATAAAAGCTACCAAAACGTTGTGATACTGCCCAGAATGCTGGGCATTGTTGGGCTCTTTGGTTATAGGCACACGTAGTTTGCTGTTGATCACTTAATTTGAGGAACAGATAGGGTAGGAAAAGGTGGATGTAGAGCAGGTCTGCAACAGCCTAGAGGGGAAAATACTGAAACCAAAATGCTGAAGGTGCATGAATATTTTTTCCTCTGTGTAGCAGAGAGGTTTCCATTCTGCTTTTTCTTACACAGAATCTGGAACTCAGGGAGACTTTACTATAATCATAACCATGTCAAGAGGCACGATAAGATTTCCTTTGTCATCTTCTGATATTATCCAGTAGCACTGGCTGCCTCCTGTATGCCAGGGAATTGAGTCAGGGTCATTTGCAGTCTTTCTAAATGCAATTCAAAATACTATTTTGAAGAGACAGTTCTTCCTCTTTGGAGAAAGCTTTGGAAATACTCTGAGTAGGAGGAGGCTGATTGACCAAGTTTATTATAGGATGTACCACATGATCTAGGCAGTCTGTGTGCAGAGAACATTTTGCCCAACGACACTTCAGTGTTTTAAGTGAAATGCTAATTTAGGGTGGTAGCAATGATTTCATAGAGTTAATTTTTTTTTTGGATTCTCGTACTGTTTTTCTCATAGTGGCTTTTAATTTGAAATCCAACCTTTTTCTTCTTAGGCTTGCTTGAACGGTTTAAAGAAAGATTTGAGACTTTTTATGTGCAGTGTTCAGGATTCCTTGGCTTCCTGTTTCTTTTTCTTTATCGGTCAGGATGAGCTGTGTGTTAACGTCACAGGTTGGTGCCCCCACCACGCAGACAAACCATTTTTGCCCCTCTGCTTTCAGACACGTGCTACGTGCTCTCCTTTGCCATCATCATGCTGAACACCAGCCTGCACAACCACAACGTGCGGGACAAGCCGACCGTGGAGAGGTTCATCTCCATGAACCGCGGGATCAACGAGGGCGGAGACCTCCCCGAGGAGCTGCTGCGGGTGAGACGAGGCATGGCCTGGGGTCTCCATAGCAGGCACCACAGTGTGGGCAGCGGTTCTCAGGCAGATCTGTCGAGGGAGGGCGAGAGGAGCATTTTCTAGCTTGCATAACCACTCGAGGAGCTGCAAGCAGCTTTTTGTGATGTTCACAGCTGCTTCGAGCTCGCTCTCCCTGTGCCCAACCTTTTGGTGAGGAGAGAAGATTTCAGAGGAAACACTCTGTGTATCAATCAGTGGTTTGCTGGTGGTAAAATTCTCGGGGAATTGGCTTCTTAGGAAAAAAAAGTAGTATTTCTGGATAATTTCCAGAGAAAACTGGAAAAAATAGTAACAATAATTGGTTATTGCCTCTCATTTCTTTCCATGTGTCTTGTGGAGCTCCCTCCTGTCCCTTGGGAAATGAGTAAAAACATGTATTGTAAGATATGTGATAGCCCACCCCATTTTCTGAAAACCCAGATTCATTTGGCAAAACTTGTTCTAAAAGAGACCTGATACTGAGACCTGGGAAAAGCTGAATGCTGAAATAAAATTAAAATGTCATTACTGGGAGTGCTTATGAAGTTGGTACTAAAAAGAGAGACTTGTTTATAGATGTGGTGGTTTAAAATCAAATTTGATGGAAGTTGTAAAGATTGAGAAGGGAGAGTCCAGTATTTGATGGACAGTATTTCCTATGCTTTTAATACAAACAGTCTGAGAAGCAATAAGATGTCCTGGTTGCATTTGCTATTAAGACATTTATTAATGAGGTCTTTTTCCTTTCTTTTTTTTTTTTTATTCTTCTAGAATTTGTACGAAAGTATTAAGAATGAGCCGTTTAAAATTCCAGAGGATGATGGAAATGACCTAACACATACTTTTTTTAATCCAGATAGAGAAGGTTGGCTGCTGAAATTAGGTTAGTCACAAGGGCACTTGTGCTGCTGGGTGTTTGTTCATTGTTTAGCATGTTTGCTGCTTCTGTGTCTGCTTTCCTGGGAAGGTAACAGGATTAACTTTGCTTTTAAAAGTGGATGAACCAAAAATAAGTAGCTCCTTTAGGTCTGGAGGCCGTTACTCTTTATTTTGTGTATCCAAATTAGCCATCTTGTTTCAGACTCTGGAGTTTTATTTCTGACAGACGAGAAATAAAAACTCGGCTACAAAAAGGAAACACCACATGGTATTTGCCACATGCTGTGACTGATAAATAACAACTAAGTCTCCATAAGGTCATTTCAGAAAACTGTGTGATACTTCAACTCAGTTTTCTGTGTACCAAAAAAAGGATTTCTCCTCGAATGGTTATTTTTGTATGTCTTTATTTTTCCATATTATTTGTGAGTTTCTCTTGGTTTGGTTTTGGCTATGATTTTTTAATGAGTGGTTTAAATGTGCCTTCTTGTTTTCCTTATGGCCTATGACCTATCACCTTTCTGTTCTGTGACTGGCTGTCTCTGCTTATTCTGCATTAGGAGGTACGTATCTGATGCTTTCCAGTCCCCTCTTCTTCAGTTGCTCATTCTTTTATTTTCTTCCTCCTGCCCTCCTGGGTTTTTTTTCTTTTTTTTTTTTTTTTTTTTTTTTTTTTTTTTTTTTTTTTTTTTTTTTTT